AGTTCGACCTACCAGCCCAGCGAGAGTACGACCTTCGAATGTCCGTTGTGTGAGGCTCAAACTGATTCGACGCCAACACTGCTTTCTCACATCAGGCAGCACTTCACTCTTCTCCCTGTCGTCGACGATGGCGGAGACAGCAGCAAATCCAGATTGGTTCTTGAAGCCTCAGGGCAAACGAGGACTCGAAGCGGGGCAAGGCAGTTCACAGAAGGACAAGAAGCTAGCCAAATTACATGAGGAAGTCATCAGCAATCAGGAGGGCGCGGGCTCTGCGTTGGCGGCGCTCATCACCATCTTGTGTCGCCTCGCCCTGCACAACAGCCGCGAGTTGGCGGAGCTCATCGGCGCATGTTTCGTATGCTATTTGGTTCCGCCCACAGCGGGTATGGTGCCGATCATTCAGGCGGCAGGCCAGGACTACAACGTGAAGTGCAAAGAGAAGGGCAAAGATCATGGCTTGGGCCCACCGTGGCCACAGATATTTCTCGGCCTGTTATTCTACCTGGTCAAAGAAGCAACAGATGTTCCACTCAAGGCCAAGGCGACGCTGGTCAGGTACTGGAACATCGTGGTGAAGCTACCGCATCAGACAGCGCTACGACACGTACAAGAGCACGTGAGGTTCCTCCGACTCAGGGCCTGCCACTACGACAAGAAGCAACACTCGGACCCCCAGATGTTCAAGCTACAGTTCATGGTGGCCCCAGCTCAGCAGGCACTGGTCCTTCGAGAGGAAGACAGCCAGGAGCTCCTCACGTTGCACGAGGCTCTGTCGCAAGCAGTGGAAGCTCAGGGGGGCCAATTCAAACCAGGATCAGCGCCGCGAGGCGCAATGGAGAGGGACGCGGAGAAACTACTGAATCGCATCGGGCTGTCGAACGAAGCCGTCCAGAAGCAGGTGCACAAGAAGTAGCTCGTTTGGTTTCTATCTCTGGATCTGAGCGGATGCTGGAGCTACTGAAAGACGGACTTCTGAGTGATGAGGCGCTTGCTAAGCTGCAGGCTAGATCCGCCAAGCCCATCCTAGAGTACTCAGCAGGTACTAGGAAATTCTATATGTTTCATCAGATCGGAACCCCAGTGGAGCCCTGTCTAGATATTATAACTTTGCTCCAGAGGTCCTCTCGGGTCCGACAGATGCGTGGTGATTTACCTCTCTCCTCGGTCGAGCCCCCTTCCCCCTTCCCCCTGCTTGCTCCGCCCTCTCAACCTCCACAGGCGCCTGACCCCATGCAGGCCGCTTCTGAAAGTTAATATATTGTAGGATTGCGACCTCTTGACTCGCACCCTAGAGCTCTCAGGGGATAAGGTGCCTCTGGAGGGCCTCTGAGGGGCGGCTTGCCCCCGTCTGGTCCCTCCGTAGGCCAGAGGAGTCCCCCCGCAGGGCCGCTGGTAGGCGCTAATTCACAGCGCTCACAGAGCCATATCCATATTCTCAGTCGATCTGATTTAAAGCCTTTAAGGTTTATCAGCCAGCAAGACAGCGAACAATTGGCTCGTAAGTGCTCTTGTCTTGTCTTGTCTCCTCTCTCCTCCGCCTCCTCCTCCTGCTCTTCTTTCCTTTCTCTCTATATATCTTTTTATTTCTTCTTCTTCTCGCCCCCTGGCGCCCTGAACTGAGACAAACCATTGTTGAGGATGTCTCAACCGAGACAAATCATTGTTGAGGATGTATCATACAGGACCAAAGACCAAGGATCCTCAAGATGTCTTTGGCTTTTTCCTCTTGATATCTCTTTATGCTGGCTCTGGCGGGCAACTTTTATTATCTCCCCGAAAACCCCGAACTTTATTATCTCTGGGGGGTTATTCTCGTGGGTTCATGGTTAGTTTGATCGGGCACTGGAGCAACCAAATGCCCCATCGCCCGCGACCGGCAAGACGTTGAACCTTCGTTGGCATTGATCACCACATTACCCGTCGGTCGGTGAAAATAGGTTATCTGGGACTCCCAGATCCCAATATCCTTTTCGGAGCCTTCCCACTTCAATGGTCGAGTGGTTTCCCCTCTTTCTTTTTCTTCAGCGGGTGGGCGGAAACACAATATACTTTCACCGCCATTCTACTTCATACTTCGACTCACCTCTTCCGACCGGCGGGCTTCGATATTCGGTGTGCGATGGACTCCGTGTTGTTTTTTTGCACAGGAAGCATTACGTTGAGACACTTGCGGGTTCCGAACGCTGTTTTCAAGCGAGTGCCCGCCCCGACTTCCGGAACTGTTGGGAGTCTCTTCTAGTTTTGGGCGCCACGTTGTTGTTCCGCGCTTGTCTTGCACGCGTGGTTGTTTGCATCGGCGGTCTCGTGATTCATCAGGTTGGGACGCGCGCGCGTGCGGCCTGCCTGGTTTTGCAATCGTACGGTTGCTCACAATCGATCAGTATATGTCCACCGCGGAATCCCACTTGCGCAGGCAAACCCCCGGACCTGGTGCGAAGTCGCATCCGATGTTGTGGTTTAGTATGAACTACGGACGCTGGTTTTAAACCCAAGCGTGAACGCGCAGTGGGCGATGAATCGGTGGGATCCAAAGTCGCGCGGCCTGGAATCATCTCGTGTGTGGGATTGACGCATGGCCCAGCAACCCCACGAAGGCACCGGGAATGCTAGGTGTAGATTTGGCCCGGGTGGGTTTGGTAACGTATTTGGTATGTGGACACCCAGACCAAGTTGTCGAGGGGCCAAAACAGTCATGACGTAGGCAGGGCAGAGTGGCTTAATTGTCGCTGTTGTGTTCGGAGGCCCGAACGCTCCGCGTTTTCCCGCCAGCCCATCCAGACACGATGCCCAACTGGCGAAACTGCCCGGAACGGGGCCGCGTGGCACACCTCGGGGAGCCTGCGTGGGCCAGGCGCACCGCGGATGCCCTTAAATTGTTTGGGGTCTTTCGCGGCCTTGTTTCAGAAGCCTCCGGGGGGGGGTCGTTCCGGCACTGTGCCGGCTCCCAGGGGCCTATTGGAGTAATTCGGGTTCTTTTGGAGCGCCTCTTGGGGGTTATGTTCGGGTTTTTTCGGGGCTGCTTGGCCCCCGTACGGGTCCTGTTCAAGAGCACTCGGGCCGTATATGGGCCGTACTGGAGGCTATCGACCAACGGAGGGGGGGTTCTTCAGCTAGCGCTGCCCCCCCCCAGGAGGGCATTGTGTGCCCATGTTCCATAACAAAATGCGTGATGTGCGATTTCTAGCTGAGGCTTAATCGGACGTTCTAAAGACCTGCGACCCCCCCGTCCAGACTCCAGACCCAGGGGGAGAGGGGAAGGGGAGGGGTAGGGGTTTACCGTTCCTCGAAGTGGGAAACCGTTGTTTACAGAGAAACGCTCTAAACCACTCGCGCCCTAGAAGGGCTAGCCAGGTTTACGGTGGCGCCGGCGCTCCCGGAGAGATGAGGGGGGTTCTAGACGGGTGGGGTTCACGATGGGTCGTCGTTGTCGTCGTGGTGAACACCCCTTTCTTCACGATGTGTATCCTCGTCGTTCCATATCTAGTGGCTTCCAGCTAATCCCACCAGCGCGCCGGGGTCAAAGAGGTTGCTTGTAGGCCTTTGGCGGCCGTTTGGGGGCCTGTTGGCTGTTTCGGGGGCGCTTTTCGGGGTGGAGGACCGCGAATGGCAGTTCGACTTTGCACTCCTAGGCAAGTGTTTGGGGCCTGTTGGGCACCCTTTCGGCCCCTTTGCGGGGCACCAGGGGGCCGTCGTGGAATCGTCTTTGGTGCCTTGGGGACCGCCATCGTACTTTCACATCGTGCGTTGGACGTGGGGTATATGTTGGTGTGTGTTTCTTGGCCTGCTACCCGCTTCCAAGACGGCCAGAAGTGCCCCGAAGAGGGCCTTTAGGACAGGCCAGTGTGGCCATGTTTGGCATGTTAGAAGTTCGGGTCCCGAGGCGCACCCGATGCTGTTCGAAAGGCCACGCAAAGCGCGCGAGAGCGACCACTAGCGCGTAAGACGTATCGGAACCTGTGGTTTTTGGGCCCTGGAGCGCCTATCATGCCGGTGTTTGTCAAAGCGCAGCGTTCGACGGGACACGAGGACGCTCTGGTTCTTGCAGCGTGTCACGGTGGTGGATCCTCGTCTTCCCTTAGGGTTCCTCTCTCTCTTCTCAGTGCCTTTCTTCCTCCCCACTTCCCCGTTTCATCATCGTTTCTTTTACGATTCGTCTGATCATGATCCTCATTGCCCTCTTAACTCTTACACTCCACTACGTCATAATCCGAATCCATTCCTCCGGCTTCTTCCACGCTTCTCCCGACACCCGACCGGCCAAGTGCACGACACCCGACCGGCAACGTGCAAAACAGGGTGGGCAGCGCAAGCGGTGGTGCGACGATGTACCAGTTCATACGAACCACAAGTTGGGGAGACACCGAGCACTGGAGACACCAACACATCGGGTGCTTTGGGGCAGCTGGGAGCACGCCTCCCTCCGGCACGTGCAGAGAAAGGGCCCTGGCCCACCGGCGGCGCCCCAGAAGGGGCCCGCTGGCCGGCCGGCCGGCCAGTCTCGGCGCGCTCCGCTGCCCCGCTGTCCTACCTCCTCGTCCTCCTCGGTCCCTGCTCGACGTCCTCCTCCCCAGCTCTTCTGAGTTCTGCTCCTCCCCGTGGTGAGTGTTTTCTCGGGCTCACGTGCACGGGCATGTTCGTCGTTCTCTCGGCGGCGAGCCAGGGGGGGGGGTAGTGAGAAGGTGCGGGCCTTCTCAGAATGCTCGAAAATCCCTAAACGTTTTGAGATATGTCCTTCGCATTCCCCAAAGACACACAACTTTTCAGAAGGCTGGAGGCATTCTGAGAAGCCCCGCCGCCTTCTGAGAAGGACTTCACTTTCTCACTTCCCCCCCTCGCTCTCTGCCGACTATCCTCGTCTCCCTCGCCAGCCTCCCCCCCGAGCATGGTCACGATTTCTCACTTTCGTATTTTTAGCTCTTCTGCCCTGCACGCCTAGTCTCCTCCGCCACTCTTGCTGTTTCCTGACCTCTCCCCTCCGTGTGCTGCGGCTGGCAGAGGTTTCACCGGGACGAGGCGAACAAGAAGTGGATTTTCAGGGAGTGGTTGCCGAAAGCCAAGCAGGCCTGCGGGAAGGAGGGGCAGGAAGGTCCACGGAGAAGCTCGGAGGATGAGGACGGGGACGGGAAGGGAGAGGAGAGGGAGAGGGTGGGGAGAGAGAGGGAGAGAGGCAGAGAGGAGGAGAAAGAGGAGAAAGAGAGAGAGAGAGAGCGAGCGAGCGAGCGAGAGAGAGAGAGAGAGAGGAAGGGGGGGGGGGGGGCAGGGTAAGTTGCACGGGAGCGGGTGCACGGTGAGCAGAGTCTGGGAGGGGCCAGTGCGCGGAGGCGAGCGCAGAGGCGAGCCGAGGGCGGGGGCACGACCCGAGCCGGAGGCACGGAGACGCGCGGCGGCAGAGGGCGCCCCACGCCAGGTGCGCGGCGGCGGTTCCCGCGCGCCGGCGCGCCTGCGCGCACGCCGTCCACGCTGCAGTGGGGCACGTCCCTGTACAGGAGGAGTATTTTCGGATGCAACTCCTGGGGGGTCAAATTCTGTTTTTGCCCTGGTCCGAAATCCGACTTAATCCGGCTTAATTCCGCTTAATCCCGCTTAATCCGGCTTATTCCCGTTTAATCCTGTTTAATCCGGCTGAATCCGAGGCCCACTCCAGCATAACAGCCCCCCAATGGGGCTTAATCCTCCTTAATCTTTCCGACGCAAACCTCCCAGCAGTTGCCTCCTGAAGTATTCGAGAATCTGAACATCGGTTGATCATATCGAAAGGTTTATGTTGGCTCCAGCTGGGCATGTCGTTCGAAGTGGTGGCACGCTTGCACTTCTGCCGTCGAAGCGCGCGCTGCAGCCGGGCTGCCAGGCAGCCAGCAAGCAGCAGGCATGGCTGGCGGGGATAGTCGGCTTGGAGTGATTTGTTTTACCAGCTTTTTTGACTATGATTGATTAGTTGTTGAATACGTTTGTTTTTCTTCCAGAGACCGCCTGTAGGAGGACATGCCTGACCTGAGTCCACCTTCATCTGGCGAGTCAGGTCTTTTCCGCTGGAGCATTTGCCTGTGTTTTCCGGTCACGCGGTGTTAGCCTGGCCAGGGCGTTCGCGCCTGTCCGAGGGATTTGGCTGGCGTTTCTTTGGTCTTAGAGTTTGCCGACGAGGTGGACTCACTCTCGCTCTCCCCTCTCGGGCCCGACATGGGTCACCCACACGGGCACGAGGGTGACCCGTTTGGCGATTCGCGGGGTTGCTTTTGTCAAGCCCGCCTCGAAAGAGCTAGATCGCCGTCACCCCAACATACAATACTATGTGTGCGTCGCCCCCCCCCCCCAGGGGCGACGCTCGCACCAAGAAATCCTCTAGTAAAAGCGTCGTGGCGGGCGCTTTCTGCCCGCACTGCTCGGGTAACGATATGCCACAAGATGGGTATACGATATGTTCGTGTCGGACGCGCGCCTCCTAGAAGAACACATCGTACTAGTATGTCCTCGCGCGGCCCACTGACCGCGCCTCACGCTTCTCACGCTTCGCGCGGCCCAGTCGGCATCCCACACACACACACACACACACACACACACACACACAGACACACACACGCACACGCACACGCACACGCACACGCACACGCACACGCACACGCACACACAGACACACACACACACACACACACACACACACACACACACACACACACACGCACACGCACACGCACACGCACACGCACACGCACACGCACACGCACACGCACACGCACACACACATGCTGCGTGTGCGTCGGCCCCCCCAAGGGGTGACGCGCGCGCGTTCGGCAATCTCTTGCAGTACACGCTCGGTGGCGGGCGATCTCTGGCCGTGCCTCTTCCGGGTAAGGACATGCTGATGTGTGCAGTGTTTGGTCGGATCGGACGTGAGTTTCTAAGGGGGGGGCGCATAGCATCATCATGTCCTTCCGCAATCCACTTCGGGCTCGCATCTGCGACCGCTTGCGAACCCTATACCCCTGCGGGTCCAATCGGCGCCGGGGTGTCTGACCTTGCCGCCGGGTTTCACTTGGCTGCATACATGTTTCGAAGTCTGCGCCACAGCTGGTTTTTCAGCAGACTGACCTGCAGGGGCCCTGCAGGGGTACAGGCAAAGCCATATAGTAAGGATGCGCTGCTTCATCAAGGCTACTCTTGCATTCCTACTTCTTCGGCCATCCTGAGCCAATGTTGACGTCCAAGGAGCTCGAAATGGTAATGGGATTTCCAACGGTCTCAAATCGCTACCTTGCATCTTACTACGTCGGGGAACGTAAGACTCGAGTGCGCCAGTCCGCCCGAACTTGGGTTTACCTACGCTTTCGGACGGGCACGTCCTGAATTTTGACGGTCCAGTTTTCGTGCGATTTCTGCCGCAGGAGCTCGCGTCACATTCCAGATTGGGCCCTGACATTTTCTTGACAGCCCCGCCAAGCCAACCCGAGTCCCCCGAACCCGAATCTTACGTCTCTCCGATTTTGGTTCCTGATTGTAGGTGTAAATCGGCCATGTCCCTCTACAGGGGGAACATTAAAAAATGGTCACAAAAAAGTATGGGGTAGACTGTTCGATTACTCATTGAGTATTGTTGAGTATGGGTTGATCTTTTTCTTCCAGAATCCGCCTGTAGGAGGACATGCCCGACCTGATTGTAGAGGGCATGTTTGTTTGCCAATTGAAGACAACGCGTTCCGCGATGTGCGGTCTGCGCCAGGGGGCCGTCCATATCGGGCTCGCGAGAGCCCGAGGAGTGGCACAGGGCGCGAAGCGTTGCGACCTGGCCTGCGCCCCCCGCAGTTTTGGATTCGGGGCTCTACGCAACGGGGATCAGCGCGAACGGGGGCCAGCCAGAGCGCCAGATCTTGCAGGATCCTGCTGGGCCAGGGCTGCACTGACCCGGGCTTGCGCGCCGGATCCTGTAGGATTTCGCAGGATTTTGCGGGATCCTGCAACGCCTGACTAACCCGGGCTTGCTCATTGATTTGTGGCAGCAGGTCCCCGAATGATGCAATTCTTCGGAGGTTACATTCAGAGTCGGCATTGCTATATCCCTGGGCGAAACTGGTTGACTCCCGTTCTAGTCCGGCTTCTTTTTGCACAACCCGGTTTCGTCCCGCTCAATCCACTTTACTCTTTGGCTTAATTTGATCTGATTTGGCTCGGTGGCCCCAGTCGGGTGATGGCCCGTAATCGTTCTGACCAAGTCCTCCCAGGAGTTGCCTCCCACCCCCCGATAAGGCGTTCCTGATCGGGGAGTTCAACGGCTGGACGAACGACAACCCGGCCGTCTCCGAGGACGCGCCCGTTCTGAGGATCAGAGGAGTGCAAGTGGAGACAACGGTAGTTGGCCTTCGGGGGGGCCTTGTGTGCCATGAGGGAACCCAGCTCTGCAAATTGGTGCGCTTGGACTTCGGCAGGAGTCCAGGGACCGATTTTGAGGTTCCGTTGTCTCAACTCGCTTTGCTCCGAGAGGAGGAGGAGCAGGACGAGGACATTCGAGTGAGGCTGCATCTGTTGGGACGTTGGATGCATCAGCGGCCCCTTTTGTTTCTTTGGCTCTGTTCAGACCTAACTCTGATTAAAGTTAACGTGGTCTTGTTTGATTTCAGGCCAAGTCTGTCTTCATGATTGTTTCTTCCAGCCTCATGATCGTTCAGCGTGCCCTGCAGAAGCCTTTTGGGAGTTGCCACCTAAGTGACGCATCGACCCAGTTCTAGAAGTGTTGCGTAAAGACGAGGTCCATGGCGTGGCTGTTTTTGTTGGGAGGGCGGGGGGCTGTTTGTTGTCTGACGTCTGCGTGAGTTCTTCTTGACGCCAGCCTTAGAGAAGCGGGAGCAGGGAGGAAGTGTGATTATGAGGGTGTGTTTGTTGTTCGGATTGATGGGAGGGGTATTGTCGCGATTCGGATTGATCCTCCTCGAAGTCCCACTTAGAGCAAGTTCTAGATCAAGTCACTGATTAGTTTTTGGGACGGTGGCCGGACAAAACGTGTCCACACCAATGGCGCGAATACTATATCGTGTGATGCTGGCTAAGTTCTCGCACGGCCTGTCCTGATTGCCTCCGCCCCAAACCCAAAGTTGAAGTGTCCACATGTTGTCCTACGCGCGTCGCCTCGCGTGCATCGCTGCCAAGTTTGGGTTGGTGGAGGGGGCGATCGATGTTTGGGATGCACTTCGCCGTAGTGTTGTCTTGGTGCGAATGGGCGTGGGCAATCTTTGTCCACCCTTGGGCGAGGAGAGGTCTGGAGGAAGATGAAGTGGCGACGGGGGCGGGAACAACGGGGTCGAGGGACCCGAGGGAGGGAGAAGGGAAGGACCAGTCTTCTGGGCCCTGCCTCCAGGCAGAATGTCGGACCCCTTGCGACGAGAGCCCCCTGCCCAGAAGCACCCACTGGCGCTTTGGGGACAGCGCCTGCTGTTTGGCATCGTGCCGACTCGCTCTTCGTCCCTCCCCGGGGCGTGCCGAGCCGAACGAGCTCTGGGGTCGGGTGCTCTGCCAGCGCCGCCGCAGCGCTGCGGGGGCCCCGGGGTCGACTCTCTGCAGGGGCCTCTCGCTTTTGAGGGCCTCTCCTTTTGAGGAGGAGGAGGAGGAGGAGGAGGAGGAGGAGGAGGAAGCTGGCGGGAGGCGAGCGGAGTCAGGACGACGGCTCGGCCGGCGGGATGGGCGGGAGGTTGGCAGGAGCCGTCGGAGCCGGAAGGGGTCCCTCACAGAGTCTCAGGGGTTCGGGGTTTCTCGAGCGGGACGGCTCTCTTACTCCGTCGTGCCGTACGCCGGAGCGCATGGGCGGAAGAAGGCATTGCCAACATGTTCTCACCGCTTTGCGGGAATGGCGGTACGCTGGCGGTTGCTTAATTTTCAGCGTCCGTGGCAGGAAGGGGAGGAGGAGGAGACGAAGAAGAATCGACCACAAAGCTTCGCCAACCAGCGGGACGATTCAGTACGTCAGAAGGCCAGGGATAAGAGAGTGCCCGTGTTTGGTTCTGCCCGCATGCGAGCTGTTCGTCGTGATTGGCGGGTGCTTGGGCGCGGCCGGCCCAGCGGGGTCGCCGCCTTTGGCGGGGCAGCAGCGTTCGGGGATTGCCGATTTGTATGAGATCGGGGTCGAGAGGCGTTTCTTTTACCTCAGGGGCCCTACACAAGGACATAGTGGGGCAACCAACTCAGATAAAATATGCAGCCCCCAACTGATGGGACGTGTAAGGTTCACAGAGGAGAGGCTCCTGGAGGCTGAAGGACGATTTAGTCAATCTTAGGGGCTCTCTTGGGCTCCCCGTGGAGCCTTTTGGGGCACTCTTGGGGCCCTCTTGGGGCTTGTGTTGGGGGTCTTGGGACCCTCTTGAGGCTCATTGGAGATGTCTGGGAGGCCTTTTTGCTCTCGCGGCTCGAAAAGACGGGGGGGGGGTGATTCAGGTCCTTCCCTCGGAGGTTCAAAAATGGCGTCTTGTGGCCATCTTGGCTGTTCTTGTGCGTCTCTTGCGCTCTTGGGGTCGCCTTGGGGCGCTTTTGAGCCCATCTTGCGGCTCCTTGGGCCATTTGGGGGCAACCTGTAGTGGGTTTCACAAGACCATCGGAAGCAAAAAAAGCGAGTAGACAAACAACATCGGTTTTCTTTAGGTGTTTAAGCGGTTCGCCTTAGGTGTTTAAAGAAGTTGGGCCTCTTGGGGGGTTCTTTGGAAGGCTCGAAGGGCCCTTGGAACCGTCTTGGGGCTGTCTTGGGGCCTCTTGGAGGTACGTGGGAGGCTCAATTGAACCATCTCTGGCTACCTTGAGCCATCTTGGAGGCTGTACTGGGCTGCCGAGGGCCCCAAGAGGGCCCTCTTGGGCCCATCTTAAAGCTCCAACTGCCAAGCCCCCCCCTCCCCCATCCCAGGCCCAGGGGAGGGGTAGGGGGAGGGGTAAGCCCTTCCCCCGAGCAGGGGAAGGACGGGGAGAGAAGGCACACTTCGCTAAACCTGCGTTCAGAGGGCTGGTGGGATGCAGCCAGGGGGTGGTTCTGGACTGCGAAGCTCGATGATCAGGGTCTCAGCGACCGCTCCACCGCGCAGCACACGGCTATGCCGACGCGTCGGCCCCTCGCCGCCGCATACGGCCACGGCGGCGTTCATCGTGGCATCGGCGTCGCACCGAACGATCACGCATGAGGATGTCTCGGGCGGGTCGGTGTGACGCACATTGGGGTGTCCCCTGGGAGCCTAAAGGAGCCCTTCAGGCCCCTGTTTGGGCACACGTTGGTTCCAAAAGGGGCCCCAAAGAGCCCCATTCAGGCCTCTCTTCTTCACCCCCCGTGTGGGTCATCCCCCATCACCACCCGCCCGAGTCACGGGGTCGGTGCGCCGGGAAGTGCAGCTGTGGTTGAGGTCGTGGGCGATCTCTCCTCTGTCAGAGACGTCGAGGGCACTGCTGGTGTCGGAGGTCCCAAAGACCGCCGTGCAATCCCTGCTCGCCTGCAGCCGAGCCTGGCGGCCCAGCTGAAGGGGTTGCCGACGGATCGCTACGGTGGCGAAGTGGTTCGGGAGATGGCCCTGAGCGCGGTGAGTTGGGCCTCGTCCAGCGCCCGTCTGGCCTCGTTGCCTGAACTGGCCGTATGCGTGCTCGCCGAGGGCAGCTTGCTGAGGGGGGTCTCGGGGAGACTCTTCCAGGCCTCGCTCCTCTTGGCGAGACCCGTCGACGGGGTTCCGCTCCTGAGAACTGTTCGGTGGAGAGCTTCTGGAGCGTGGCAGAAGCTGCACTGGCCTCCGTCTCATGGATGGTGGTACGGATCCAGGTGACCCATGGGGACAGGTCGAGCGTGACCTCTGCGGCGTTCTGGCGACCCCATGGATGGTGATACGGATCCAGGTGACCTGGGGAGACGGGTCGAGCGTGGCCTCTGCGGCGGTCTGGCGACCCTCGGCCTCCGTGCTGCCGAGTTGGTAGCCTGTCCCGTCCACGCGCGCGACTTGTGGGTCCTTGGCGGCCGCAGCGCTGCGACGCAGTACGGGGATGGCCATCCGGGTCCCTGAGTAGAGGTGGGGGGTTCTCCGAAGGGCTTAGGCGACCCGTCCTCCTCCTCCTACTCTTTGTCCTCCTCCTCCTCCTCTTCCTCCTCCCTCCTTGTCGTCGTCCTCGTCCTCCTCCTCCTCTTCCTCCTCCTCCTCTTCCTCCTCCTCCTCCTCCTGCTCCTCCTCCTCCTCCTCCTCCATCCCCTCCTACCCATCCCCCTCCTTCACCACCTCCTCCTGCTTCTCCTCCCTCCTCCTCCTCGGGTCGCCTACGGCCCTGGGGGAAACCGTGCAGGTAGAGGGTGGCCTTGGGTCCCAGCATTGCGAGGGCCAGCAGTTGGCCCTGTTTGCGGAGTTGGGTGAGCAGCCCCTCTCCCTCCCCGTGGCCATCTGGGAGAGCGGGGGCTCATCCGCGCGGCGTGCTCGGTGGTAAGCAAGTGCCCAGTAGACAACGACAGAGAGGGAGGGAGGAATTACAGTGAGGGAGAGAGAGGGAGAGAGAGAGGACATACC